GTGTGTGTGTGTGTGTGTGTGTGTGTGTGTGTGTCTGAGTGTGTGTGTGTGTCTATGAATGAATGAAGAGGTTTATTATGAGGAATTGACTCACACAATCATGGAGGCTAAGAAGTCCCATGGGCTGCCTCTGCGGTCTTCAACCTGGAGACCCAGGAAAGGTGGTGATATGATTTCAATCCAATTGTGAAGACTTGAGAACCAGTGGAGCTGATGATATAAATCCCTGCCCAAAGGCAGGGGAAGATGGGTGTCCCAACTCAAGCAGGCAGGCAGGAAGCCAAAAGGGGCAGATTTCTCCTTCCTCTGCCTTTTGTTTTATTCAGGCCCTTAATGGGCCTGAATAAATGGATTGAATGATTCCCACTTACATAGGGGAGGGCAATCCACTGAGCTCACTGATATGAATCCTAATTTCATCCAGAAAACTGTCACAGACCTGCCCAGAAATAATGTTTAGTCTGGGCAGCCCATGGCTCAGTCCAGTTGACACACAGAATTACCACCACACCCATTCACAGAACGGGCTGGTAAAAATTATCAATAGCATTAGCTTTGTCATAGATTCAGAGATACTTGCCAATCTACTTCAACTAGGGCATGTGCTTCTTAATCATCCCTTATAGATGATGCTGCTTGCATTTTCCAAAATACAAAACAACCAATCTCTCTTTTGTCGGATGAGTAGCTTTCCTTATCTGTTATAATTTCTGGGTGTATTTAAAAATTCCTGCTACCTTCTCTATACTGAGCCTCTGAATTAGTTGTGTTTCTAAATCTTACCAAGCATGAGCACCTACTACATACAAAGTAACTCATTAAGCTTCACACTTTCAGTTTATTAACTCATTAAGCCTCACAGTGGCCCTATAATTAACATCTCAATTTTGAAGTTGAGGAAACTGAGGACTAGAGTGGTTAAATAATTTGCACATAGCAACACATTTGGATTTAAATAGCCTTCACTCAGCAAAGCTAAGATTCCAACCCATGGGAATTTGTCTTCAGAAGCTATGCTCTTAACCACTACCTTACATTGCCCTGAAAAATGAGAAATACAATTTCAGAGCACACCTAAAGCTTCAGAATATCTAAGCTACCTGAACAAAATTAATGAATTTCACATATTCTGACTCTATGGTCTTGTGACCTTCACATTGAATATGTTTCCTGTCTTCTATTGACTGTTACAAATGAGTTATTTTATTTTGGCTTATACTATAAAAACTATGGCAAGGAACATTTGCTTTTCAAATATTTATACAATTTTCATCAGGTTAAAAAAAAAACTTCATAACATAGAACCCATAAAAGTACTGAATAAAAATAATAGTGTGACAATTAAGTTTATAATTCCAAACGAAGTAAATTTATTTAAAACAAAGGACATTTTCCCAACTTAAAAATTACTTTAGAAATGGCGAACGCAGGAATAAGAGTAACAGGCATAGAGTGAATTGAAGATGCTAAACTTGAGCTCATTCAGTTCAAAGGTCTCATGGTTATAAAGTCCATTGAATTGAAATTCAAAATTCTCTTGCACATTTTAGGTAATAGATTCAATCTCGTATTTAACTTAAGAGTATCGTGTTTTAGTGGATCAAATAGTGGATGGCCACTATTACCTAATCCATAGTACTAGGTGGACTTGTAGGTCTATTTTTGCTCCAATATTTTATGGATTTCTGATAATAGTAGCACATTAGCTAATAAGCCAGATTCAATGCTGAATATTTCCATAGAAAATAACTAGTAACCAAAGTGTAACTTTTTAATTATTCATGTTATTCTCAGCTACAATTCTTACTGTTTTATAACAAATAATGTCTTAGTAACCTAAAATAATTAACATGATTCCCAACTAAAATAATTAACATGATTCCCTAGCTTCCACCAGAAGTGCCCAAAAATGAAAAAAAAAAAAAAATATATATCGTTGGAGACAGTAATAGAAGGCATGTTAATTTATTTACAAACACACACACAATATTTTGTATTTAGACAAATAGGAGTTGCTAAATATCTCAAAAATCAATCATCCAAGTGAAAATATGCCCTCTCCCCTACAGAATCTTCACTTACTAGGCAATTGCAAACCACCAGTAACACAGCAAGTTGGTTCATAGGTGCTAGAAGAAGATTCCAGGAATCGAGGCTCAGGTGCAACACTGACCAAAGGTCTACAGGAACTGGATTCAGAACTCTGAGACTGGCGTTGGTTGGATTCACATTCCTGAGCTTGGCAACTCTTAGCTGCAGAAGTCTTAGATGAACAGTACTTTTCCATGTGGCTCTCAGGTTGGCAGCTCTGGACCACAAAATTCATTTGCTGACTCTTTTCTGATGGGCAAGGCTGAGAAACACACTCCAACACTACTGAGGATCTTTCTGAATGGCATGTTGTCCTTTCACAGGGCTTGGAATTGGAATAAGTTGTTTGGACAACTCCGGGGAGGCAAGTACTTTGCACACAGCTGTCTTCTGTGAACACGTTCTGTTCATAGTCGGTCAGTTGGCAGCTGGTGGTTTCATTGCAGGTTTCTTGAAAGTTGTCCAGAAGCCAGGTTCTGCTATGGTAGCTGCTAGGCAAACAAAATCCATCTTCAAAGCTTATAGGATTAGAGTCATGTACAATGGCAGAGAGTGGTGGGGCATTTTGGAAGCTCCTGAGTGAGCAGTAGTGACTATGAGGCATATTACTAAAACCTTTAATTGAAGTTGGTCATAAGGACCCAACATGCTGAGTCTGAAAATTAAATTCTTTGCTGGAGAGAGATTATATACTCAGAAAACTGGGTGTTGGCTTCTTTTCAAGACTCCTTTGCATTTCATTGCTTCAGCTAATTTGAAGGATACCATCTCATTAGCACTTTGTTTAGTTATATATGAAGGTGACATCTTATTAACAAAGATGCAAGTCCATTTTGAATCTTCAAAATAGCTTTTATGTTAGCTCCAAAGATGACTCATTCAGGGTGGACTTTGTCAAATATGAGTCCCAACATGTCACCCAAGCTAACATTTTTTTTCTCATTTAGCTACCATGACCCTCCGTATTGGTAAGTGGACTACAAGAAATGTAGGTGAAGACATCAAATTGAATACCGGTTAACATTTAGCACTGGAGCGTTGAGACATGCCATCATGGCAGAATGTGGTGGTATGAGTTTCAGGAACTGATCTCACTCTCATTCCACTAAGATAGTGTTCTGTCTAGTGAATCAGGATGTGAGAGGGCTCTTCAATAGCATTTCTTCTTACTGTTCAGCCAAAGTTCTGAATGTGGCCATTGCCCCTTAAATCCTACCTTTTTGTCTAACATTTTGTTCCCCTCATCTACTTGAGGGCCAAGCTTAAAAGCTTCCTCTTCATGAAGCTTTTCCCCATATTCCCATTTATAGGTTATTACTTTTTCCTCTGAATTACCAATGAATTTAACCCCCTTTTTATTACGACTGTACTTTATACCAAGTAGTATGTATGTTTATTTTTGTTTACTTGCTTCTCAAAGGTTGATAATTTCTTTTGTAACAAACCTGTTTCAAATGTGTTTTTCATTTTTGTTTATTTTGTGTATTGTTTTTTAACTGCAGACAGATGATCACCTCCTACCTTTATTGCATTAGCATGCTGTACTTAGCATAGTTTCACGCGCATAGCAGGGAACCTCCCAGTACAATTTCTACAACACATTCTATAATTTACTTAACTCAGCTAATGATAACAAAGCAGAATAGAAGTATATTCTTAGCACAGCATTTTAGTCTCCTTTTCTCAGGTCTGAAGAAATCCAAGAACATTTCAGGAACTCTCAATAACTCTTAAACAAACTCTTCCTTGACATGTAAAGTACTAAGGATATTATATATTTAAAAGGACACACCTGAATGCATTCAGCTTTGCATAGTGCTCACTCAACTTGTATACAATACCTTTGTAATACGTGCAAGTTAATTATAATTTTGAATGACCACTCTTGTTTAAGGATCTCATTATGCCCTCTACATGAACCCTGTAACGACTTATTTAATTCTTATGCGTGTTAGTGGTTATTATTGCACAGAGACTTCCCCTATAGCTTGTGACTTTCCTGCTTGAAGTTATCAAATGGATTCTCACCATCCTTAGAATAAGATCCTTTCCCCTTAGCCTGCCCTCCAACCCCTTGCGAGACCTGGCCGTGGCCTATTTTTCTAACTCTACCTCTTGTCATTTCCCTCACTCAACATGCTTCATCCCTACAGGCTTTAATCAGCCCCTTGAGCACGTTGAACCATTCCTTGCTTCAGTATTTTTCACATGCAGCTGCCTGACTGTTTCCTCCCTCCGTTGCCTTCTCCCATTCTGTACACCGTTCTTCTCACCTTTTGTGTTTCAGCTTAAGAATTACCTCTCACAGTGACTCTCCATCACCCTATCTGAAAAAAGAATTCCATTCCCAGGGTCTATTTTTTTCCTTCAAAGACCTTATCTTAACTTCTGATGATTTCATCTATTTCTTCTTTGTGCCTTTTCCACTGCACTGTGAATTCCATGAAGACAAGAAGCAAGTGTATCTTTCTCACTACCGTATCCCCAACACTGAGCATGGTGCCTGGTGCCACATAAGATCTCCATAAATGTATCTCATAAAATTGATGAATAGAAGGTGCTAAATAAAAGTGTGTTCAAAATACAACTATATGTCTGGCACACAAAAAAAATGATTTTGAAACCTTGACGTACTCAAGATTTCCAAGAATCGACAAGGGTACTGAGCTCAAAGAAAGAAAAAAGAAAGCTATGCCAACTTTTCAACTACCCCTTTGTGAAATAAGAACAAAGTCATTACGAAAACCACTTATTAGCATGGCACTAACTGAATCAATTATTTTAAAATCATGTTTGATGTAGGCATGTTTTAAAAGCTTTATCATAAAACCTGGCATGACTTTTCACTGCCAGCACAGAGTTCTATTGCCAAACTGTCTGGGCAGAGAAAAGAAATCATACTGGCTTGAATTTGCACGATTGTCTCCAGCCAATAGCCTTCTTATTAACCTTACAATGTGCAGTAAATTAGTGAGTACTTGTGCAGCTCCAACTTTCCAAATGTCAGTTGGTGATATTAGGTCTGTCATTTGTGAATAAGGTCACTCCATGTGTTCTTTTCTCCTTGGGATGAGGCATTAACATGCACATTCTATTTAATTGAGTGCTGAATTAATAGGTGTTTTGGTATATAATTCTGATTCGATGAGTAAATATAGATTTTGGTCATCACTGGATTTTACTTGCTTTATTATTATGGAATGATATAGGCTAGAACAACTGGTCACCTTGGAAAAACTTAGTTTTGTAGGTACTTGAATAATGATAATAAGTAGTCTATCTACTAGTATTCTTGAGAAATAGACTCAGTTACCTGGTTGCATATGGTGACTGTATAGTCTGCTACTAATTGATTGAACAATTCCCTGGTCTATCCTGGTCTTGAAGTACATGAATGATTGCAGCTGCAATGGCAACTCCTAACCACCAGAGAGTGGAATATCAACATTTGGTACAGGGAAAACAATTAAATATAAGGATTCTAAGCCAAAATCTATAATCTCAAACTGTTACTTTGAACAATTCCCTTAGGCTTTCTGTGCCTTGGCTTCTTCATTTTTAAAATTAATATTATAAGAATACCAATCTCATAAGATTCTTTCATTGATTAAATGAGATATATGGCACCAGGTTGCCTATCACATGTTGAGTTATAAATAAAAGTAGCTATTATTTCTGATTAGGTTAAGGATCTTCGTGCAGACACTTCCCATAATAATATCGATCTAGAATGGATATAAAGTTATAAGAGAAAATAAGCATTGTACCATTTTTGGTTTTGTAATTATGTTGTTAATTTATAATTATGTATTAACTTTTTACATTCCATTTTTTTAAAGGTTGATTTGTACTTATTCCCATTAGAGATGGAGATTTAGCTTGTCTCCATTTCTCAAGAGCTCAGCACTTGATGATTGTAAGGTTGAATAGCTTATATTGCTTTTATATTTGATTATGTGCCAAGCTGAACTTCTAATCACTTGTTTAACCACATAAAATAAGGCACTCTCAAATAACATAATTCATCCCATTGCTCCTACAATTTATTTACTTTATCTTTGCTGTAATTTAATCTCATCAGCCAAACTTATGCCAAATGACCTAAGTTAATTTAAATGCATTCCTTTTCTGCAGTCAAGAAGTTTCATTGAGAACCATTGCATAGCAATGGAAGAATACTAGATCACAAGTGAAGAGACTTGGCTTCTACCTTTGTTGGTTCTATTAATTCACAGCATGAATTTGGACAAGTCACTCTGCCACTCAGGATATCTTATAAAATAATGAGTTTAGATGAGAAGCTCTCTAAGGTCATTTCCAGCTGTCACATCCTATAATTTTCTATCAGAATCTTAATATCTTAGAGTTGAAAAGGACATTAAATGACTTCTTATCAAATCTACCTACTGAATGATATCCTAGCTTTCATTTAAGACCATCTAATCTTTATTAAGATTACTTATGAAATTTTAACAGGATAGACCAAAGACTGAAGTTGGTAAACTGTTGGTTGCCATGTATGCTAGTAGATATTCACAACTGTATAGTCAATAATCTTATAGTATTTGAGAGTAATGCCTAAGAAGAAATAAAAAGTAAATAAATAAATAAAAGTTTGCTGAGGGGAATAACTAAATTTTTTTAGATATAACATTTTGCGAAATATGTCGAGTACCGTATAACCTTTCCCAGATAATGTAATGCATATAGAAAAAAGATTTAGGCTTTAGAATATTTCAAAATTATAGCACTATGACAATAATAATGATCTTCCTGTGGAATTTGGAAATGGTCATTTGCCAGTTTTCTCTGTTTCTAATGATACATTCTTTTAGAATATTATATCAGGAATTATACATGACATCATTTCTTCTCTGAGACTAATCTCTAAATAATTTTGCTTCCTCAGATAATCCTTTATCATTTACAATTCAATTATATTAGACTTTGATTCAAATAGTCAAAAAAGAGAAAAAGAGAAGTTGGAGGATTACACAGTGACTCTTAACAAGGAGTCATGTAGAAAAGAATGAACCATGGTATCTTAACCATCTGATCATTACAGTCCGTGTTTTCCAACTTCTTGCTCCATTATGTATTGGATGTGAAAGTATCATGGTTTATTACGGTATTTATACACTTGCTTTTGCTCCTTTCACCAGATACAATTGCGCTTGCCTGCCTCTGTGATTAGCTTTGAGTAAAGCTACTTTTCTGTTTCTGAAGTTATTTTTCTACTTTTGTATGATACAGAAATGTAAATTTCTTTTTGAATTCTCTCACCTCAGTGGGCACTGCAATTGTGATAATGTGTGATTGAGATTGTGTTAAATCAATTTTGATGATTATGAACAGAGGATTGGTGACAATTGGCTTATGTGCAAAGGTTTTCACCAGAAAAAAATGAATAGATGTTTGAGGTCATTGACATAATATATCCTGGGTACTGTCACCCCAGCTCCATTTCATTCATTTATTTATTCAATTATTTTTTATTGAATACAGGTATACCTCATTTTATTGTGCTTCACAGATAATGAGATTTTTACAGACTGAAAGCTAGTGGTAAGCCTGCTACTTTTTCAATAGTATGTGCTTTGTGTC